AAAGAATGTTTTTCCTCTGTTTTCCTCTAAGTTTTATAGTGTCTGGTCTTACATTTAGGTCTTTATACTTAATAGATTGTATATCTTTTTTTTTTTTTTTTTGCGGTACGCGGGCCTCTCACTGTTGTGGCCTCTCCCGTTGTGGAGCACAGGCTCCGGATGCGCAGGCTCAGCGGCCATGGCTCACGGGCCCAGCCGCTCGGCGGCATGTGGGATCTTCTTGGACCGGGGCACAAACCCGTGTCCTCTGCATCGGCAGGCAGACTGAATCACTGCGCCACCAGGGAAGCCCTCCTTTTTATATATTATTGAATTCAGTTTGCTAATAGTTTATTGAGGATTTTTGCATCTGTATTCATCAAAGTTATGGCCTGTAATTTCCTTTTTTGGCAGTGTCCTTTTCTGGTTTGGGTTTCAGGGTCATAGTGTCCTTGTAGAATGAACTTGGGAATGTTCAATTTTTTGGAGTAGTTTGTGAAGGATAGGTATTAGCTCCTCTTTATATGTTTGGTAGATTATCCTGTGAAGCTGTCCAGTCCTGGACTTCTGTTTGCTGGGAGTATTTTTAAATTGAAAATTCAATTTCACTACTAGTGATTAGTGTGCTCAGATTGTCTATTTCTTCCTGATTCAGTCTTGGAATGTAGTATGTTTCTAGAAATTTGTCCATTTCTTCTAGATTGTCCAGTTTGTTGGCATATTGCTGTTTATAGTATTCTCTTATGATTTTTTGTATCTCTGTGGTATCAGCTGTTATTTTTTGTTTCATTTCTTATTTTGTTTATTTGGGTCCTCTCTTTTTCTTGATGAGCCTGGCTAAAGGTTTATCAGTTTTGTTTATCTTTTCAAAGAACCAGCTCTTGGTTTCACTTATCTTTTCTGTTGCTTTTGGTTTTTTTGGTCTCCATTTTATTTCCTTTCTGATCTTTATTTCCTTCCTTCTCTGCTGACTTTGGACTTTTTTTGTTCTTCTTTTTCTAACTCCTTTAGGTGGAAGGTTATGCTCTTTCTTTGTGATTTTTCTTGTTTCCTGAGGTAGGTCTGTATTGCTATAAACTTCATATTAGAACCGCTTTTGCTGTATCCCATAGATTTTGTCTAAGGGATTTTCTGATTTCCTCTTTGATTTCTTCATTGAGCTCCCCCACCCCCAGTAGCATGTTGTTTAGTCTCCATATGTTTGTGTTTTTCCCATTTTTCTTCCTGCAATTGATTTCTAGTTCCATATGGTTGGGAAAAATGCTTGATATATACTTTCTGTCTTCTTAAAGTTGTTGGGACTTGTTTTGTGTCCTAGCATGTGACCTGTCCTGGAGAATGTTCCATTGCACATGAAAAGAATATATTCTACTCTCTTGGGATGGAATGTACTGTAGATATCTGTTAAGTCCAACTGGTCTGTTCGGTCATTTAAGACCACTGTTGCCTTATTGATTTTCTGTCTGGATGATCTGTCCATTGATGTAAGTGGGGTGTTGAAGTCCCCTACTATTATTGTATTATTGTCAGTTTCTCCCTTTGTGTCTGTTATTATTTGCTTTATATATTTAGCTGCTCCTGTTTTGGGAGCGTATGTTAACCAGTGTAATATCCTCTTTTTGTATTGGTCCCTTTATCATTATATAATGCCCTTCTTTGTTTTTTGTTATAGCCTTTGTTTTAAATTCTGTTTTGTCTGGTATGAGTATTGCTACCACCACTTTCTTGTCGTTTCCATTTGCATGAAATATTTTTTCATCCCCTCACTTTCAGTCTTTGTGGGTCTTTAGCTCTGAAGTGAGTCTGTTGTAGGCAGCATATCAGCCACCCTGTGTCTTTTGATTGGAGCATTTAGTCCATTGACATTAAAGTAATTATTGTTAGGTATACACTTATTGCCATTTTATTACTTGTTTTCTGGTTATTTTTGTTATTTTCTTCCCTGTTCTTTCTTTAGTTTCTTCTCATGTGGTTTGATGATTTTCTTTAGTGGTATGTTTGTGTTCCTTTCTCTCTTGTTTTTGTGTATCTATTGTAGGTTTTTGATTTGTGGTTACCATGGGGTTCAAATATGTTGACCTATATCTATTTGTTTTAAATAGTAGTCCTTTAAGTTCAAACACATTCTGAAAAGATCTTTTTTTTTTTACTACCTTCCCCTACACTTTGTATTTCTTATATTTTACATCTTCATGTTTATCCCTTTACTGGGATATCAAGTATCCCAGTATCAAGTATCAAGTTATACTTGATTTTAATAATTTTTTTGTTTTTTAGTCTTTGTACTAGCTTATTTAAGTGGTTGATACTCAGCTTTTACTACATATTCGCCTTTACTAGTGGGATTTTCCTTTCCTATAGGTAATTCCTTCTTGTTATAACCTTTTCTTTTCCACTTAGAGAAGACCCTTTAACATTTTATTTTAGGGTTGACTTAGTATTGATGAATTCTTTCAGCTTTTGCTTGTCTGAGAAATTCTTTATCTCGCCTTCAATTCTAAATGATAATCATGCTGGGTAGAGTATCCTAGGTTGCGGGTTTTTCCCTTTCATCGCTTTAAATATATCATGCCACTCCCTTCTGGCCTGTGGTTTCTGAAGGAAAATCAGCCGATAGCTTTATGGGGGTTCCCTGGTGTATGACTGTTTTTCTCTTGCTGCCTTTAGAATTCTTTTAACTTTTGCCATTTTTAATTTTGATATATCTTGTTGTGGGTCTCTTTGGATTCATCTTGTTTGGAACTCTTTGTCTTCCTGTATCTGGGTATCTGTTTCCTTCAGGCTTTGGAAGTTTTCAGCCATAATTTCATTAGTACATTTTTGATCCCTGTCTCTCTTCTCCTTCTGGGACCCCTGTAATGTGAATGTTGGTACACATGATGTTACCCCAGAGATTCCTTAAACTGTTCTTTGTTTTTTTAGTTTTTCTTTTTGCTTTTCTCATTGGGTAATTTTCATTAATCTATCTTCCCAGATCACTTACGTGTTCTGTATCACCTAGTCTGTATCACCTAGTCTGTGTAGATGTATTTTTGAAGTGTTTGTAGGGGGAGGTGAGTTCCACATCCTCCTCCTTTTAGTTTGTTTTTCATTTCAGTTATTGTGTTCTTCAATTCTGACTGGTTCTTTTTTATATTTTCTAGTTCCTTTTAAAAATTCTCACTGTATTCATCTGTTCCTTTCCCTAATTCAGTTAGCATGCTTATTACTAATGCTTTGAATTCTTTATCTGGTAAATTGTTTATTTCTGTTTCATTAGTCCGCCCCCCGCCCCCAGCCATTTTCTCTTGCTCTTTCAATTGAGACAGATTCCTCTCTCCTTATTTGGCTTATCTTTCTCTGTCCCTATGAAATTAGGTGTGACAGTTACCTATGGCATTCTTGAAGGGGTCCTTATGTGGGAGTGTCTCTATATAGTCTGCATGTTCTTTGGTGGGAGAGCTGTATCTGACATAAACACAGGTCACATCTTTCTTCAGTGTGTGCTGGCAGTTATCACCTTGGTGGGAGGTGGGGCTGGAGATGGAGGGGCTAGGGCTGGAGTCAGGTGTGAGGCAGGGTTTCCCATGTTCTCAGTGGCCTATCAGGGGTGGGGTCAGGTCCCAAGTTGCTGGAGCAGAAGCCCTGAGGGTCAGGTCTAAGCTGGCTTGGTTACCTTTTTAAAGTGTGTGCTTTTGCCCCTCCCAGCACTGTCACCCTCACACCAGAGGGGAGCAGTGCTGGAGCAAGAGGTGCAGAAATGGGTATTCAGCGAGGGTCAAGGGTTGAGGTGCTGGCTATGGCAGTCTGGCCTGTCAGAGATCCTGAGTGCCTCTGCCACACTGCCTGTGCAATTGCTAGTAATGGCTGCCCCCCTCCCTGTTAAGACAGCCCTTAGGGTTTGAGCTGCCTTGGCATCTTATGGCCAGCTGAGCTTTTTCCTTGGTTGTGGCAACCCTTGTTCCAATGTGAAGATGTGATGCGAGGCAAGCAGTGCTGGAGTATCTGCTCAGCTCAGGTTGGGGGGTACACCAGGGCGTTCACAGGAAAGGAGTCAGCCACTTGAGAGGTTTCAAATTCAGTCTCCCTTTCCGCCCAGCTTTGCGAGCAGGTGAGTATCCACGTGCTCATGAGTGGACAGCAGCCTTCCCACAGCCCACCTGTTAGTCTCACTGGCCCTCCAACCAGCCAAGGGGGCTCATCTTCCCTTTGTTGGACCCCAGGGCTGAGGCATCCAATATGTGGCTTGAACCCCTCACCCTGCAGGGAGGGCCTTTGCCCATGTAATCTCCCTTTTCCTCTAAGTCCCCTCCCAGGGTCACAGGTCCCAACCTGATTGCTTGTTTTCCCTTCTTACCTGTTTCTGTGTGAATCTTTCTTACAGCCTTGGTTGTACAGGAGTCTTTATGACAGTTTCCAGTTTTCAGTGAGAATTGTTCCACGTGTAGATGTATTTTTGAAGTGTTTGTAGGGGGAGGTGAGTTCCACATCCTCCTCCTCCTTCACCTCGATTCCTCTCCCCATACACATATATTGTAAATAATCAGATGGTCCATGTGCTGGTTTGTCTTACGGATTTATAGTAATTTTTCTTAAGTATACAAAAAATAGTAATAACTTTTTATTTCTTTTTGTGTTCTTTTGTGAGTTATAATTTTAACTGGCAGGAATAATAAAGGTTTTTTTAATGGTCATTATAGAGACTAATTTGCACTTCACCTGTTCCTTTATTTTACTAAAATTCTATTAATTGGAGACAAGAAAAAGCAACCTTCTAGGACTATGCTGTAATAACACAAAGAGATTTTCTTTTATTTCCTCTAAGTTAATATTCTATGTTGATGCAACCTAGACTACCTGAATTTCTATATATGTCATGGGAGTGCTTACATGGTGTATTTAAACCTTTCAGTTGTTACTCTCCCTTAATTGTCAAGCTTACTGCTTGTAAAAAGTTACTTCCTCTAACAAGGTAAATATGTATTAAATCCTTGAGACAAAAATCTAAATTTTTGGTATATCTTTTTATCCAAAGTCTTACATTCAAATGAAGCAAGAACAATATTTATTAATGGAAATGAGATTTTTTTCCAACTAATTTTCATGTCATGTTAGCCTGAGCTACTTGTACAAAAAATTAGCACATACACACACCAAAAAACAAGCAAAACAACAAAAAAGCCAAACCACCCCCCAAAAAACAAGAAAATCCTCACTTCAGAAAGTCATAAGGTGACAAGTTTTACTCCTGAGAGGTAGACAACCAAGCAAATGAATATTGTACGTGCATTAACTGAGGCACTTGAGATCACCCAGTTTATTTAATTCATAACAAAATCTCTCTTCAGAATTTAGTGTCTGTGAACAATCACTATATAATAACAGTGGTCTCAATTTACTTTAACAAAATCTTACTCTGAAGTTTAGTCATGTAGACCTTAAACTTATAAGAAAATGTATTTCTATCTCAGGCAATTATTTAATTTCTCAAAAGCTAGTAATGAAAGATCAGTGTGGGTAGAGATATGATTTCTTGAAATTGGGAATATATTTTAGCTTGTATTTGTGAAAAAATATATTAGTGACCTGAAAGGACATTGTTCCTCCTATTCTATTTAGGGTCATTTTAATAAAAGGCTCTGGCTTCATCTTATACACTACAAACAGAAAAACATAAATATCATGAATCAGTTTAAGTAGAGATGTGATTAAGTATAGTAAAGGATGCCTTCCATAACATAAATAAAATTCCAAACACTTTGCATGTGAAAAATTTCTGAGTATTAAACAGTAGGGTGATCTCAGTCACAAACTTGGCCTTCACGTGAAATGTTTTCATTAAAATTTTAAGTTTTCTTTAAAATAAGAAAAACTTGGAAAGCATAGCTCCCAAATCAGCTAAGTTAGAAACTGCTAATTTTCTGAATGAAAACAGCACTGTTTTTTTTTATTTTTACACAACTGAATTGAAAGAATAGAAAAAGCACTACAGTTGATATAGAGAACTATTAGGCCATCAACACAGACATCTGGGAACAAACTTCTTTTATATTTACCATCTTCTGCAGCCACTTGCTTCTGCTTTGTCATTCACTGACATTTCAACCGTGTCAGCTACTGTATCTTCGGACGCTGGTTGGACGTGGCCCTCTGACTGTCCTCCAGTGTAGGTGGGGGTGCTGTACTTTAAAAGGATAGATTTAAACTGTATTAGAGGTGCATCTGTACGGACACCCATCGGGTCAAAATGAGTTCGGCTGACTCGAAAGCCTGCTTGAGAAAGACAGCACAAAAACTTTTTTAACCTGGAACAAGGAAAGGAAAAAAATGAGGTTCTTGTACTTTTATTTAAATCACAATGTCATTAAAATATTAAATATATACACTGTCATTCACTGACTGTCTTACTTTGGCATATTCATTCCTTTAATGCTGTGTCTATGGATGTTGTAATAAAAGGGAGGATGTTCAGTATTCACATCAGTCTTTTGCCTCTTGGCTAAATTTGTGGTGGTTTCGTTACTTCTTCTCTTCCCTGAAACATACATATATAAACACAGAAAGTTAGCATTCTCTTAAAAATTACAGCCAAATACTTTTATAACTACATACTGTCTTCGAGTATAAATCCTCTGACACACACCATTTCAACCTATCTAATCTTAATTCTAGACAGCTTTTATTGTAAGAAGAATATATATTCTTGATACTTTCACTATCCTTCACCCATGTAATTTTAATATTTAACTGTTTGCTGAATCAGAACTTCTTTTCTACCTTCTTCAATTTTAAGCCTCAAGTCTATTTCCACCTTCTGTAGAAAGCCATTTATGAATTCTGGGCCAGCCATCCCACACTACACTACTCAGAGTTTAAGTTCTGTCATTTTTTTGTTTTCCCTGTTTCACATATTTAGGTCTTTTATGTGTATAAATCCTTTCTTCCCAAATTATATTCTAATCTAAGTTCCTAGGAATAATGTCCTTTATTTCTATACTTGTATTCTCTACTGAATGCCAATACAGTTGAACAATGCAGGTTTGAATTGTGTGGGTCCACTTCAACATGGATATTTTTTAATAGTAAAAACCACAGTACTACATTGTCCATGGTTGGTTGAATCTGTGGATGAAGGGCTGACTCTAAGTTACACATGGATTAACCCTGGGGTTGTTCCAAGCGTCAACTGTATTTGATATACAGTAGGTCTTCAATGAACACAAAACAAAACCAACACAAAATCAGTCTCAAGGGCTTGGATACAGGAATTTAAAAAGGTATAATGTATGATCTCATTGCCTACTTCTTACCACAGTACTTAGCCTTTACATTTTAAGTGAAAGGCAGCTAGCAAGTTAAGTTTCTAGCAATGTATCCTTCCAAAAATCACAAAAGGAAGACAATTGAGATATCCAAGTTACTATGAGATTTTTTCTGAATGTTCAACTCAATTAATTATTTCTACAAGGATGTTATGGCCAATTTTTAAATTTTTATGAAAACTAACATTCACTTAAGCAAAAGTATTCAGAAGCAAAATTTGATGCATGAAAATGATAAACTGCAAAGATAAATATAAATTATTGTTGAACTGTTGCCTCATGACTCCCCCATTAAATCAAATAATTAAAACTTGATTATACTCTCACATTAAATCTAAGAAGATTTAGGAAAATCTGAGACTAAAAATCCGATATCAAACCTTAATAATTACTATCATCAGCAGTACATGGATTTTTTTTGCCTGATATTTTCTATCATGGAAGATTCTGTATGTTGATATACTAGTTTAGAATAATCATATAATTTCAGAGCTATAAAAGAACCTAAAGAGATTAGTCTAATTCCCTTAATTTATACATGAGAAAGGCTCAGAGATTTAAAATATTTTTAAAACTTATGTTTTACCTTATTCTAAAAAGGTTTTATGACAACTCTTTTGAAGGTGGGGGACCTGGCTGAGGTTATACAACAAATGACACAAGGAAGTAGAATGATGCTCTTAAATCTAATGTGCTTCAGAGTATACCATAATGCCTTTTTCTTCCTCCAACAGAGAAATTAAGGAGAATAAATCATTTAAGTGATTTGAATCTTCGCTAATTAGTTGAAGATGCCAAATGAACATGACTGTTGGCAAGAGTATGCAGTAATTACTAAACTGTAAGCTATTAGCAGGAGTTGAAATTTTCTTGTCTTTGAAGATCAACACTAAAATGTTGAGCAACTAATACAAAATTATAGCTTGTAATTATAGTCCTCTGTTCTTTCAGTCTTAACACTGTGTTTTCTTTTTACCTGTATACAAAACACATTTAGAATCTAACATTGTCTTTTTAAAACTTTAGACATTAAGGCACTGACATTATAAATCTTAACATCCTTTTGATATGAATTTGCAGTGTCTAATATAAGTAAATTTTAAAGTATGCACACACCCCAAATTGTAAGGCCACGTAATAAATTCTTATGGCCAGAGTATAGGGGTCTTCTGGTTAATCAATGGAATTCCTATAAATCATATGTTGATGAGAAAGTTTATAAGAATTAGAATAAAATTTAATCTTAACTCTATAACCTTTATCAAATATAATTTGATCTTATTTTGGTTCATATGGTTCTTTAAGATCTTATAGCTCTTGCAAGGGGATCACCATATATTAGAGATGTGAACAAAGTACACATTAATAGAAACCTTGAACTGTGCAAATGCCAGATAAACAAGGTTGATTATAATTTTGTTGTTGGTGTAATATGAAAATGCATTTTGAAGTACGCTACCAAAGCAATCTCTTCCCTTCCAATTATCCTTCTGCTATGTGCCCTTTTGCAAAGACACATACATACATATATACGCACACATATACATACATACCTTGTGCAATGTAATTATCTGTTGTGGTATCATCTGTAGTTTTAATAAATACACCATATTCTTCTTAAATAAAAACAAATGGAAATGATAAAATATTTTACAGAATAACAGTAAGCAACAATTCGAAGTTTAAATAAAAGCTTACTTAATTCTGTGCACACTGCTTTTATGAATATGAGATTCTGTGACCAAAACAGGCTACAAGAATTCATTTTTTAATCCTTTAATAAGAGCTGCTTCTTGTAATGACTCATGACAATGCTAGGATGTCTAACAAGCCCACCCTTATATCAATAGCCAGATAAAACAAAGGAGAAAAAACTTAGCTTTACTGAGTGATAAATGTAAAGCTAGTGTCCATGTCTTAATGGATATTACAAAATTTTTGGCCACACTATTCTGAGTGATCTCAGAATTCTCTCTAGAAAGCGGATGTAGGGTAATAAAATCACAACAGACTTTTAGTTCTTTTCATCTACTAAAATTTAAAAAATACATCTGTCTTAACAAAATCATTATTTATTTCATGCCCCTAATATAAACCTGAAGAAAACTATGCAATTAAAAAAAAAAGTTAACCGGATTATGATGAAACTCATTAGGATTTACTTAAAGCACACAACTTATAATTATACTGCTTTTGATTATAACATCAAATAAAGATAAAAAGATGGAATATTTCTGATAACCAATTTGTAAGCTAGTAAATTAGTGTTCAATTAGTCACCTTGCTTGTTGAGATTTGAAGGTGCATGAACTGAAAACTGACTTTGAGGAGTACACTCTGACTCAAAGATTAATGTCTTTATTAGGGTCTGAATGTCATCTAAACCATGGTGAAGAGATTCAAATAGCATTCTTTTGAGGAATCCAGTATTGAAAAGGGAACTTGACCTGAAAAAAGAACATAGAATTGGGTTTGAGAAATGTTTTCTTTAAAAAAAAAGTCTTCATAATTTAACAACAAGTAAGATAATTTGCCCACACCTTTTATCATGTCAGTTCTCTAAGCTAGTGGGATTAGTCAAGGATATTTTATTCACATTATGTCAACAAGAATTTATTGAGCCCTCATAAGGTGTTTAAGTCCTGTGGTACACAGAGGTGTAAGATATACCAAAGTATAAAATTCAGTGTTTACCTTATGAAAGCTTATAAATCTAGACAGAATCTAGACAGGGACATAGTGTAAGGCAGAGGTTTTCACAATGCATATTCCAGTAATAGTAAACCTTAATTCCAGTGTATACATGGTGGGACAGGGTGAGATACATGAGAATTACATATGCAGGTGGTGATGTAGTTAAGAAATGGCTCAGGGCTGAGTCTGATATGCTTCCCATTTAATTTGAGAGTCACAGGTATAATGGACAGAATATCAGTTCCAAGTCAGATAAACTTGAATTCCTGTCCTCGCTCCACCACTCACTAGCTATGAAATCTTGAATAACTACTGCTTTTGAGTCTCACATTCCTCATCATAATATGGAAAATAAAACCTCTGACAGACTGGTTATGGGAGTTAAATGAGATAGTAGTACACTTACGATCCCTAGTACAAAGTATATCCTCAAGGAAGAGAAGCTATTAAGGTTAGCAAATTATGAAAGGATACGTGATTTTAAGTGTCAAATGAGTGATCAATATAAGATTTACTAAAAGACAATTTAAAGATTATTTTGGGTTTAAACACTTAAGGAGAAACTTCAAAGAGGACGTATAATTTAAACTGGAGGTGGGGAAGGGGTAAGAGCCTGGATGAGTGTAAAGACATGAACAATGGCTTTAAGTGAGAAAATCTTAAGTCACAGTTTAGACCTCAGTTTTGGAGGTCAGAAAACCTGAGTTCTGGCTCTGCCTGTGCTACTAACTAAATTTTAGGGGGTCAGTTTTAGCCAGCACTTAAATACACTGTGCCATAATTTTCTCATCTGTAAAATGAGGGAGGAGTTGGGCTAGATCTTTCTGGATCCAGCAACCTGTTGTTCTTAATTTCCCTAGTTCCAAGATCAGTGAGGAGGATCAATGTGTGATATAAGTAAGAGAGTACTAGAAGGTAAGGCTGGCCAGGTCATTCTTAATCTACAAGTATTTACATGAAATGAAGATAAAATAATGGGTATCAGCACAAATATGTTTACTATTAGGTTAATTTTTAGGCTTAGTAGATGGCCAAACCTTGGCCTGGTAAAGTAATGAGGTTGAAGTTTGCAGTGATTCTTGTCACAATGCTGTCAGGAATCTCAAATTTCTACAAGAATATCTAGTAACAGACGCTTATGGGAAGGTGTCTGAGTAAAAGCAATTCAACTTTAAGGCATTAAAAACACAATAACTAGTTACTAAGGATGCAAAAGCACACATACATTGAATATCTGCAGCTGTGTCCTGTCTAAACAGCTTTACCTAACACAAAAGCAGACGTTTACTTTCACATGCCCTTCTTACTTAAATTCCTCAAAGATCTTTTATTAATATATTACTTGACTGGTCTATAAAAGTGACACTTTACAATCACACCCTAGTTCTATAGTTATTACCTGAAAAAAGCCTCATTCTTACTATGCAGAAATAAATTATTTGCAGATCAGCTAGGCTTCTCTTTGATCCTACTGCATCTTAGCCCTGTCACGAACTTGGAAGAATAATGATGTAGAAAAATGTGAAAACAAAACACCTCAGGTTCATAGGGGGAAAAGAATCATAATTATTTTCCTATACTTAAAAAAAAATTGAACCTTAATTTGCTTGTCTTTTACCACACATAATCAAAAGTAAACAATCAATACATATATCAGTTTTGAATATATTATGCTTAGGCACATACCATAGAGGTCCAAGTTCTATTGCTGTCTTTCCAGGCATGCTTCCATGACAGTTACAGGGTAGCTGTCTATATGGGTTTTCTGTGAAAAGATAATAAAAAGAGAAGTCAAAGGGGAATTGACAATGTAAACAGTAGTAAGTATTATATTAACAATAATTTGCAGCTACAATATACTGAGGATCTACTATGTGCCAGGTATTGTGCTAAGTATTTTATATGCATTAAAAAAATTTAATCCTTACAACTCTCTGAAGTAGGTACTGTTAAGATCTCAGTTGTATAGATCAGAGGATTAAAGCTTAAGAAAGATGTAGAAATCCACATCAAACGACTTATTAGAGGCATAGCTTTTAGTCAGTATACTACCTGAAATAATTTAAGTAGGAGCAAGTCTTGTAAATTCCACAAGATATCCATATTTTAAAATCAACTGATTGGGATATAATTTACACGCAGTAAAATGTATACATTTTATGTGAAAAGGTTGGTGAGCTTTAACAAATGTATATAGCCTGGTAACTAACATCCCATCAAAATAAAGACATTTCTTATAAGTTAACTCTTCCGTAACTGGGAAGAAAATGAATTACTCTATTCCCTAGGCTCGATGCATATTCAGCCCCAAAAATCTAGGCTAGAAGAAACTAATTCAGTTTAAAGAGCAATGAGGGGCCTGATGTAATCACAAGGTGACTGGGGAGGTACGAGAGCTATTCTTAGTTTCCAAAAAAGGGTGATATTCTACCATGGACTTTTTCAGTTCACTTCAGACCCAGAATAGTCATTTTAAATCAGACTCTCTCTGAGTTCCCGCAGGCCATTCCTGGGTTGATCATTCACTTTCTTGGAATGGCCTGATCTGATCAGTGGGTCCTAGATATATCCAGAACCCAGGATTATGGTGGTAGGGACATGGGTCTATAACCTATTGCTATCTGATATCACTCTGTCATTCAATGCAATTAAATGGCAAAATGCACAGTTGTAAAATCTTATATTTACTTAAAGGCTTCCTTCACTGTTCATTCCTAGGTCTACCTTTCAGCCTTAAAAGAAGGTGTGGTTATCATTGACCTTAGCTTTGTTGAGAATGATGTTCCTCAGTTATTATATTAATATATTCAAGAAGTTCTCCCTGAAACCATTAAATAACTAAACTACAAATACTACAGGCAGGGTTACTGAAATTAGGGCGATTTACAGTTACGGTTCTGTCAGTCACACCAACTTACCGCCGACAGCACAGACATAAATTTGTATTAGTCAGTTTGTTTCCTGATGCATTTTGCAAAATGCTCCCATCATATAAATCTATATCTTTTTTCAAGCCCCTCACCTAAGATTTCTCAGTGCCTGGTTAGCATCAGCATCTTGAGGGATCAGGGCTATCATTTCAAGTTACCAGTAGCAAAAAATGAAGGGGTAAAAAAAGAAAACTAGTATTTCTATGTCACTGGTAAAACAGGCTATGAAGGTAATTCCAGATAAGGAATTCAAACATATTTAGAGACTTTTATTTAAATGCAATGGACTGAACACATACTTTATCTCTGCTGTTTCTTAAAGCATTATTAAAATGAGAACAAAGGAATAAAATTCAAACCCCAAAGATAAATAAAATGGTAAAGGAGATGACAAAAGATGATGAGAAATGTCAATAAAATTTTAGAAGTGGGAAGGACATACACAAGGGGATTTAGCAGGTCAGAGAAAGCTAAAGCCTAAGCCTGAAATGGGTAGAAGGGCTACCAATAAACAGCAAGCCCACTGGTGTGGGGGACCTGGAAAGGCTTGAGAATTGAAGGTATTGATGGTCTCTGAAGATGGGAATAGGGTGGTACCACACAAAAAAAGGCCTCGTTTAAAATTTTAAGACTTGTGGATCTTCTCTAATACCAACAGTTAGGCTTCTGCATCTTCCCCATCCCAAAAGAGGAAGTTAATCTTGGGTGAGGCTCAACCGCAGAGAATCTGGGACCAGGGACATTAGTCACAGTTAAGAGTGAGGAGACATATGAAAAGGGACTAAGTAAAAGTCTGTACAAATGTTAAGACCTTTCAGTCTCCTTCTTCAACATGGTTCCTAGAAAGCTGATAGAAGACTGCAAGATTCCTCTGTAGAAATACTTACCAATCCAAGAGAAAAGAGATACACACACAGACACACACACACTTACTGACTGACTGACTGGCATTTGGGGGTTCTTGTAGTGAAAAGGCAGACTGCGTTCTCATTACAGTAAAGTCTATCTGTTTATAAGCCCTGCCGCAAGTACTTCCACATAACTTTTCAGCATGGAAAACTAAAGACCACTGGACATTTGAGATATACTACAACAGAGAACAAAATTACAAGAGAGAAATAGGAAAGAGAACTAAAACAAAATAATGGCAACAATACAAAAATAAGCAAAACAAAAATCCTATCCTTCCCTAAAATATAAAATATACCCAACTATAATCAATAGTCTTAGAGAGGTAAGATTAGATTTTACATCTCTGAAACAAGAATAGGATACTACTAAAAAGGGGGCAATGAAAAAATATGAAATAACTCTTGGAAATAAACCAAGTATGACAAATTTAAGCAGGAAAGTTGGAAAATAAAACTCAAGGAAATCTATAAAGTAGAACTAAATGCCAAATAAATTAATAGTAGAGATACAAAAAAATTAGAGAATTAATCTAGAAGATCCATCATATAACTGAAATGAGTTCCAGGAAGACAGAAGAGATATTTTGAGAGAAGAAAATTATCAAAGAAATAATAGAAAAAAATTTACCAGAACTGAAGAACTCAAGTTTAAGGGCTCACAGATTGTCCAGCACATTGAATTTAAAAAGATGAATTCACACACAAAATGAAGTTATTTTAGAATACTGGGTTAAGAAGAGATATTTTAGGAGCACTCGGAGACAAAAACACAAAGGACCATATATATAATAACAATAGCAGACTTGTCAGTATTGGAGGCTAAGAGACAATGGAATAATATCTTAAACATTCTGAGGAAAAACGATTTCCAACCTAGGCTTCTATACTTGGCCATGCAATCCTTCTCAGGAAGCTATGGGAAAAAGTGTAGTTTCAAAAGGCGAAAGTAAAGAAGGAAAAGTGGAAAATACATAAGATTTAAGATATAGGAAATTCTTCAGAAGGAGAAAGCCAAAGAAAATTTCCAGTATGATGGTCTAAAAGGAAGCCCTAGGGCAACAGCTCTCAGAAGACCTAGAAAACAACCCAAACTAGAGCAGGAGGACTGTCTCCAGGGGAATGAAATGAAACCCAAAGATTACTTGATGTTCTTAACCAAAATCACAGGAACACTGAAATTGGATTATGGATTATGAAAAGTATATATACACAAAAGGTGACAAATACATAGTAATTAATTCCAGAGTAAGCAAAGAGTTGTATAAAAAAAGAAATGTTATTACAGCATATTAACTGGTTCATCTGTGTTGTAGCACCCTTCTAAGATAGATAGGCAGCAATGATTCCTGTCTCTGGCATTCATACCCTTCTATAATCCCTTCCTCTTGAATGTGAGATCACTGGATCTAGAGACTCATTTCTAGTGACTAGAATATGGCAATATTCTCTCTTTTTCTCTTTCCTTCTTTTCCTTTCTCTCTCTGGTTCTTGCTTAATCCTTCCAACGAAGTGAGCTGCTATGCTGTGAGTATGAAGCGGACTGCATGACAAGCAGTAACCATGTGAATGAGCTTGTAAGCAGATCCTTCCTCAGTCAGGCCTTGATGATTGCAGCCCTGGCCAACACCTTGACTGTGTCCTTGTGAGAGACCCTCAGCTACTGGACCCAACTGAACCATACCCAGATTCTTGACTCAGAGAAACTATGAGATAATAAAAAGTTGTTTCAAGCCACTAAGTTTTGGAGTAATTTGTTACACAGTAATACATAACCAATATGACTTGTGAACAATATTTTTATATTTATAAAAATATAAACACTGAATATTGATTAAGCCAACACTGGAGAGGAGAACTACATGCATGTGACTGGGCTGGCTTGAGATGCTGAATACTCTTCTTCCATGCAAGGAAGTTACAGGCAGTATAAGCATGCTACTTAGAAATAGGGAAGACACTAAACATTAAAGACTTTAAATATTAGAAGAAACAGCTATGAGGTTTTAGCTGTTGACTTTAGGGAGTGGGGCAGATATCATTATTTTATTAATAAGACTTATGGAACTATTTGACTTTTTAAATTATGTATTACAAATTGATAAACATAAAAAATTCTAAGTGACCTGACTTTTTTGAAAGACATAATCATTTACACTCTGCAAGTCCTGTATGATTACAAACAAAATGCAGACAACAAATCATATTGCTTTATAGCAATTTATTAAGTAAAAAATCCTTTAAAATGTTTAATTAGGGGGAGGGGGAGGGATGGATTGGGAGTTTGGCATTAGTAGTTGCAAACTATTACATTTAGAATGGATAAACAACAAGGTCCTACTGTATAGCACAGGGAACTATATCCAATCCCGTGGGATAAACCATAATGGAAAAGAATATAAAAAAGAATGTATATGTGTGTATAACTGAGTCACTTCGCTGTACAGCAAAAATAAACATAACACTGTAAATCAACTATATGTCAATTAAAAAATATTAAAAAAAAGAAAAACCACTGTAGTAACAGTCCAAAATTATACAGCAACATGAAGCACTTCTGATGGAGAGGGAAAGATGTTAGGTTTTTATGGATTCAGGATCAAATCTGAATAGTGTATTTGAGTTTAGTTACTTGTCGATACTGTAAAACACACATGGTGAGATATGAAAGGATAATAAACTCCATGTAAGAAAGAATTGATTCATAATTTTAAGGGCAGGAACACTGTCAGTAACACCGGGGTATGAGGTAAAAAACACTGAGATTCTTTTTTATTGAGGGAAACTCACATTACTGATACCCTTTTAAACACTGAAGAGGTCTGTTATTTCTTACATAAAGGAAAACTGAAATAGGAAAAAACAGAAAAGAAACCATAGGGCACTAAACCAATTATCCAGGAGGACCAAAACTTTCCAAAGTTTCATCAAAGATATTTATGAAATCTATATTTTAAAAAGCCAGAGTGGATTCTGTAACTCCTCTGATTATGTTGCATTGAAACCAAGATTAGGATGGTGGACTGAGCATTTAAACCTGTCTTCTCTTCTTATTCCAAATCTCTAGAAATGATAGAAAATATATTTTTATGAAAAATTCCTAAATAGTGCTGGAAAATAAGATGAGCCATCACACATCCCAAATCATTCAGTGCTTTCTGAAAGCCTACAAGCTGTGAGATCATACTACTGGACGAAAACCACACTGGGGAGAATAGCTATTAAAGGCAGAAATAGCCTAGGGGCTATATGAACCAAAAAGCAAGGATGAATGGCACTAGAGTAGCTCTAGGACAACTGTTAAAGGGATTGGTTAGAAACTACTTGAAGCAGCTTACGATTATATAACTCCTCTAATCCATGATTAGTAATTACAGAAGATATTTGTCTTCAGTTTGAAGTGATAAAGGTTTAGGTTGGAGAAGCAAGATAGTGCCCCAACCTTGATAAAAAACAATTATCTAGGGCCCTAAGAAGCTCTGAATTCCAAGTAGGATAAACACAGAGAGACTCACTCAGACACATCATAATCAAACTGCTGAAAGCTACACAGAAAATCTTGAAAGCAGTAAGAGAAAAATAACTTATCAAGTATGAGGGAACAACAATACAATTAATGGGGACTTCCCTGGTGGTGCAGTGGTTAAGAATCCGCCTGTCAAAGCAGGGGACACGGGTTTGAGCCCTGGTCTGGGAAGATCCCACATGCCGCGGAACAACTAAGCCCGTGCGCCACAACTACTGAGCCTGCGCTCTAGAGCCCACGAGTCACAACTACTGAAGCCCACGTACCACAACTACTAGAGCCCGTGCTCCGCAACAAGAGAAGCCACCGCAATGAGAAGCCCGCACACTACAACGAAGAGTAAACCCCGCTCGCTGAAACTAGAGAAAGCCCACGCACAGCAACGAAGACCCAGTGCAGCCATAGATAAATAAATAAATTAATTAAAAACAAAAAAAACCCAATTAATGGCTGACTTTTAATCAGAAATAATAGAGGCCAGAAGGCACTGGAATGACATAGTTGAAGTGCTGAGAGGAAAAAAAAGAACTATCAACCAATAATTCTACATCCAGCAAAACTATCCTTCAAAAAAGAAGGTGAAATAAAGACATTCTCAGGTAAACAAAAACTAGGAGAATTTGTTGTAGCAGACTCACCCTATAAGAAATACTAAAGGGGGTTCTTCAGGTTGAAAGGAAATTTTACAGAGTAATTTGAATCCAAAGGAAGGAATAAAGAGTACTGGAAAGGTAATTATGTGGGTAACAATGAAAGATATGTGTGTGTGTCTCTTTTCTTAATTTTCTTTTAAACTCATAAGATTTAAAAAATAATACTATATTATTGGATTGGGTCTGTAGATGTAATTAACATATGACAAAAATAGCACAGGAGGTGAGAGAAAAATAGAATTATATTAGAGCAAAGCTGCCACATTTTGCCAGTCTTAAGTCAGTATTAACCTGAGGTAGATCAAGATAAGTTAAAGGTATATATTATAATCCCTGGAGAAACCATTAAGAAGATAACTGGAAAAAACATAGCTAAGAAACCAACAGAGGAATTAATTTAAATGACACAGTAAAAAAATATTTAACACTATGAAGGCAGCAAAGGAGGAACACAGAAGACATGAGATACATATAAAACAAATAGTAAAAGTGCTGAAAAGCCAGACATTTTAATAACTACATTCAATATGAATGGTCTAAACACTCATCAAAAGGCAGAAACAATCAGATTGGATAAAAAAAGCAAGATCTAATAAGACACTTACAGATTAAAACTAAAAGGATAAAAAATATATTATGCAAATAGTAACTATGAGAGTGGTATTTGTATTAATATCAGACTATAGGCTTTCAGATAAATATCAGGGATAAAGACAGACATTTCATAATGACAAAAGAGCCAAAGATGATACAACAATTATAAATATATATGAATATTTTTAGATAAAATGATAGTTAAAGAAGACAGGTTGAAGAGAGCACACGCATAATAGTACAATGTAAGACAAATTTTAGAATTAAAAAATATTTAAGAAAGCTTTCTTGAAAGGATATTTGAAGCTACATGATGAAAGGGGATGCCATGATTAGGAAAAATCCTAAAATTAAGGTTAGAACGTAGTATTTCAAAAGTAAATATTCCTTTGGGAAGCCAGGCAAAATAATTATGTCATATAAAAGAAGGAAAAGTTACAATAATATTCAGTAATAGAAGACAATAAAAGAATTTTGACAAGGCACTCAAACTCTAAACTATTTAAGTATAAAGCTATAAACAGGGAGCTTTAAACATGCAAGAAATCAAAGAGTATTTTCCCCATGAACCCTCTTGACTAAACTCAGAAAGTTAAATTTAGCCAACCAACACATAATTCAAGAAATTATGGCAAGAACACTGATGATGAGCACTGAATATATTTAATGTGTGGATTATACTGGCAAAATAGAATATAAATGTTACATATAACATAAAAATGGTATAATGGACAAAAATTAGGAAGGGAAAATGGAAAATGGCAGGCTATTACCTCATTTATGTTAGCAAAAAGCCAAAGTATATTACTTAAAACCGATAAATCCAAATTACAGAAACATACACATATTTGCTACTACAAAAGTAAACGTTAAGAAAATAAACAACAGACTAGATAAGTCAGTATCTAATATAGTTAAGAGAAAAGGGCAGAAAGGACAAATACTAAAACTTTAAAAAAATAAGGAGAATATAACCATAGAAACCAAAGAAATGAGAATCATTAGACAACACTTGGCTCAACTCTATGCAAATAAATTAGAAAAGCTGAGTGAATACTATTAACCCTTTAGTGAACAAATAATTCTGATGCTAGCTAAACTGTTCCCAAGCATTGAAAAAAATGTAAAAGTTCCAAATTCTTTTTGAAGGGAATTTAAACTAATTCTAAAGCCCAACCAAAATTATTCTAAAAAGGTAAACTATATACCATCTTATTTATGATATTGAAACAGAACTCCTTTAAAAAGTTAGTAAACAGAATCCATAATAAAAGAATACTTCCTGACAGAGTAGTTTATTCTAGAAAGTCAGAACGATTTGATATTGGAAAATTTTATTACAATCAATCAAATTAATAGATCTAAGGAGAAATACCATATAATCACCTCCACAGATGCTGAAAAAACATGTGACAAAATTCAACATCGTGATAAAACATAGTAAAATTGTAAATGAAGGTTACTTTCTCAACATGATAAATGATAGGTATCTCAGACTCAAGTATGAATCAGAAAGCACCAGAAGGAACTAAAACAAGGAACATGACAGGATGCCCTCCATTCCTACTATCAATTAACACTGTAGCAAAAGTATTAACTCTTGGACAAAAGAAGAGCATACTGGGTTCTTAGGAAGCTTCAGAACTGTAACAATATCTCTATCCTCCTTAATGTGATCAAGATAAACCACCAACTGGTTTATTTATTTATTTTTTGTTAAGTCAAAACAAAGGATCCAATGTCAGAACACTGAAAATAGAGCTATGAGAAGGGATTGTCTTAACAGATATTAAACAACACTAAAAGTCTTCTGTAATCAAAACAGTGGGATAGAGGTGTATGAACATCCAACCACTGGAATAGAAAATCCAGAAACAAACTCAAATACATGTGGGATTTTAGTATAAGATAAATATGGTAGTCTCAAATCAGTGAAGACGTGAACTATTCAATGAAACATAACCTTCCTTGAATAATACAGGATAGGAAAGCTCTTTCCAACTACAGACAAAATCCAGAGTACATTAAAAGTTTGATTAACTTAACAACAGCAACAATGAAAAATTTCTGCATGAAAAGGTAAAAAAAAAAAAGATGCAAACACAAGTGACAAAATGAGAAAAAATATCTGCAACTATCGTATCATATCACAAGGGTTAAACTCTAGTATATAAAGGAGTTCTTAAAAATCCATATTTAAAAAATGCCAAGAACCTAACAGAAAACAATGGGCAACTCTATGTCCCAGAAAAGCAAAATAGAAACAGCTTGATGAGGGCACAAGCCACATCTTTTTCCTTGATTCCCCAGGCCTGGCATATAGTAGAGGCTCAATAAATGTTTACTGAATGAATTTTATAACTGATGGCTTTTATATTCAGTCAGAAACATGAAAATTATTTTTATAGAATTAATGATTTGAAACATCCTAGATAAAGAGGTAATCTGACTTAATGTTCCTAAAATTAGTGACACTGGAAACTAAGTTATTTCTAGATGTTTCAACAGAGGGCAGGGCTAAAGAGCATAAATTATGATGAGTAAATGATTTTAATGAACTCACACGAATGTCTTGTCTGTTGATGAAAGGAAATCCAGTATAGGAAATAAAGTTAGCACTGTAATCTTTAAAATCAAAGGACAACAATATGTATAATTAGGGATGTGATAAAGGCTTATTCATTGGAGGCTTATAGATAAATTAAACCGAATATACAGTCAAAAGAAACTTGAATTTACCTTCTACCATATTACCATCCTTCTGAAAAATTCTCTCTTCACACCACTGACAATGGATTAGGTACTGAATCTTCTTGGCTGTTTCATCTGCAGAAGTAGGCCCCCTCAAAACTCTCACAACCACCAATACAAAATGTTCCAGAGCCACTGCAAACAGTACTTCTATGCCTTTGTTACATCGGGCTGCAGCTCTGGAAAAATTTATTAAAGTTATTTTGGGAGCTTATCATTTTCCTTTGTTTGGCATTATACTGACAATACTAACTTGGACACTAAACTATGGATGGGTTATGGGAAAATAAGCAAAATTCAATTCTTAGTAGCAGTGATTTTAAAAGATCATTACTATAACTTCTACACAAATTGAAACACAGGATATATAGGATGCTTGGCAGGATTTTAGTAACTACACATTTTCCCTTATGAAATCTTCTCAATATTCTCTGGTTTTCAGTGTCACTTTGTTTCTTGTCATCACAACCATCTTTCTTTCTTTTTATCTACTTTTTTCTATAAAAGCTTCCTCTAAACAATAGATGTTTATTGAGTACTAACTACATGCAGGAACTGAACAGTCAGTGAAAAATGAATAAGCAAAGTCCTTGCCATTATTACTTTTATATACTTTTGGATTAAATTCTACTTGATACACCATTTATGTACTTAGTTTTCCCTCTACAGTTCTAAACTAACTTAAACTTTGTATGTATTGATTTGAATCAAGTTTATAAGCCATCATTTTTTTAAACTACATAAATAAAAGATGAAATGGACAAAAAATGATTGTTTCTAAATCTAAAAACAGGCTTTGCTTTCCCTTTTCATGGTGCTGTCCCCTACATTGTTGCAATAAACTGATTTGAAATTAACTTTCAATATTTCCTTTCTTAGTACTTTAATTATTTTAATAACATTTTAAATTGAAGAGTAAACTATTTTAGGCACAAGCTTTCAAATCAAATTCTAACTTAAGATTACCAAACAAATCAAGATTACATATATGGAATACGGAATTTGTATTTCGTGCATATTTTGAAGAATGAAATAAACACTTCTTGTAATATTATTTCGTTTTATCATATACCCAGACAAGGTACACTGTTGGCCATTTCGTACCTTGCCACTGCAGCTACAACAATTCTGGCTGCTAGCTCCTTGTAATATTCAGTTCGGACAATGTTACAGCCGTAGTGACGCCGGGCAACATGTTGTGCCTTGGCATATAAAGAACTGATATCTGTAGAAGTCACTGACACTATGCCAAGGTTTCTTATATTTCTGAATGCAGAATCAAGATAGTTCACAGATGTTCCAAAAGGGTCTAGGTGTCTAAAATCACAAAGAATACAGACATATTTAAAATCATACTAGTATCCAAAATAATACCATTGTCATTATTTCTAATGACAAAATTCCATGGATTCAAAAGGACTTCATAAATCTATTTTAAATATATAATTATGTTTTTAAAGTAAGCAATAAAATGATCATATGATAGGTTACACCTGTAAAAGTAAATCAGGCTTAGAGGAAATTGTCATGTCCAGGCATTTTATTTCAAATGCTAGAAAATGTTCTTACTGCTTTCCTTAGGCCAATGCCAAAAAACTTTATTAATTTAAATAAACAAACAGTGACAAATTATGTTAATTTTTAATGGCCCCCTTCCTACCCCGTCTCCCGCCAAATCCAAGTCAGTTTAGCAAGTGACACAATTTTTTTCACTTACATGAAATCAAAAGATCTCAAATGCATCAGTACATTGGCATCCATTTTGGTCACCTTAATATTACCAAAGTTTTCCTCTCCTTCAGGAATATCATCACTCTCTTCCTTTTCCTTACAGTCCACTACCACTTTCAGTTTGTTTAAATGGCAGTTCTCCTGAATCAACGTCACAGAGTTTTCATTCAAATCATTAATTGTAACCTTGACTGCATTCCCAAGGTGTTTTGCCCATTGTAATCCCATTATCCCTTGGGAGAAATTGGAGGAAAAATGAGTTTTTAAATTGTAATAAAGAATAAAAGTAGTATAATAATAAAGAATATAATTTTATAAATAACAAAAACAATTCTTTCAAAATCTTAATACTTTCATAAGTAATTCTTATTCTACTTTCTCACTAAAATGCCTCTGAAGAAAATTTACCACAAGAAAATGTGTCCAACAGATTTCCATTAATAGTTTGTAAAAAAAACTTTTCTATAATCCATGTTCAAATAAAATATCCATGTATGTTCTTTATTTGGGCTTTGGTAGGATTTTTTTTTCTTTCTTTTTACAATGGAATACTTTTTTGAAACAAAATCTTACAGAGAAACCCAATATACAATATGAGTAAGAGTGCAGTTACTGTACTTGAAGGGAAGATGGGTAGTTGGAACTCCTCCTGCTGACGTTTACCCTAATGCACCAAAATATGAAAACAACTTTCCTGGATCAGTGCTTTTCAAATACTGCGCAACAGCATCATTGTGAATGAAAAAGAACAACTTTGTATGTGTAAGCAAATGACCAAGAGGAATTGAGACCAAGAGGGCCCTTCTCACAGGCTTTCTATTCCTATTGGACTTGAGTCATAAGGGACATTCACTACACAGTGGGAGATGGTGACACAAGCCTAGCCAATATGGAGTAGAAAAAGCCCTATTTACGGGAAGTATTAACCATCTTCTCCCTACATGTGCTTCATAAATGTAAAAAGTTAGCATTTACTATGTGCCATGGTCTTTACATACATTTTCCTACTCTTACAACAAGCTTGTGAAGTAAGTTCCCATATTCACATTTTATATTTATTTATTTGGCTGCATTGGGTCTTAGTTGTGGCAGGTGGGCTCCTTATTTGCGGCTCACCAGCTTCTTAGTTGTGGCACGTAGGCTCCTTAGTTGCAGCAGGCAGGCTCCTTAGTTGCGGCTCACTGGCTCCTTAGTTGTGGCATGTGAACTCTTAGTTGCATCATGCATGTGGGATCTAGTTCCTGGATGAGGGATCAAACCTGGGCCCCCTGCACTGAGAGCGCAGAGTCTTAACTACTGCACCACCAGGGAAGTCCCTATCCACGTTTCAGAGATGGGGAAACATGCAAAATGACTGCTATGAGCTTGATTTTAGTTTACCAAGGCACATTAAAAAGAAAAGGCTGAGAAGATCTTACTTAAATGATAGTTTTAGGGATTTCAGGTAAAAAAAAGAGTAGTTCATTGCATCATTATTTACAGTAGCCAAGACATGGACACAATCTAAGTGTCCACAGATGGATGAATGAATAAAGAATATGTGGTATATATATATACGTATATATATACATATATGTATATATATATATATACCCAGTGGAATACCATTCAGCCATAAAACAGAAGGCAATCCTGCCATTTCAGACAACATGGATGGACCCTGAAGGCAGTATGCTAAGTGAAATAAATCAGAGAAAGACAAATACTGTATGATCTAACTTACATGTGGAATCTAAAAAAAACAAACTCACAGAAATGGAGATCAGATTTGTGGCTGCCAGAGGTGGAGACTGGAAGGGTGGGAGAACTGGGTGGATATGGACGGGTACAGACTTGCAGTTATAAGATAAATATGTTCTGGGGATATAATGTATAGCAGGGTGATTATAGTTAATGATACTGTACTGTTTATTGGAAAGTGACTAAGAAAGAAGAACACAGAAGTTCTCATAAAAACGGAAAGAAAAATCTGTAACTATGTGAGGTGATGGATGTTAATTTTTTTTGGTGATCATTTTACAATATATACATATCATTATGTTGTATATCTAAAACTTATACAATGTTATATGTTGATTATATCTCAATAAAACTGGAGGAAAAAAAAGAAAAAAAATGACTCCACTATCAAGAAACGTATACAGTACCCAGTCTAGGATAGACATTTAATAAATTTTATTGAATGTAAAAAGAGAGAGAGAGAGAAGTTGTGTCAGGGAAAATGCTGGGAAATAAATCTGGAAAAGTAGATTGGGTCAGATTATAGAGGATATTAAATTGCAATCTGAGAAGCTGAACTCTATTTAGACAATAAAGATGCATGATTTTTTTGACTGAGAAGTAACATTATCAATTCAGTGTTTCAGAGGAAGGGCTGTTTGCAATAGCATACAAGACAAACTGGGTGGGAGAGATATCATTGCCAAAAATCATTACATTGGTGGATATGGAATGGAAAAGGAGTATGAGTCATAATAAAAAAGAATAATTAGAACAGATCGGTGGTTGAGTGTATGTGGGGACAGTGGCAGAAAAAGGAGTAAAAATTGATTCAAATTTAAAATACGACTGGTGGGACTTCCCTGGTGGTCCAGTGGTAAAGAATCTGCCTTCCAATGCAGGGGACGTGAGTTCGATCCTTGGTCGGGGAACTAAGATCCTACATGTCACAGGGCAACTAAGCCTGCGCGCCACAACTACTGAGCTCACCCACCTCTACTAAAGAGCCTGCGTTCTGCAAACTACAGAGCCTATGTGCTCTGGAGCCCACGCCACAACTAGAGAAGAGAAAACTCGCATGTCACAACTATAGAGAAGCCTGCGTGCCACTACGAAGAGCCTGCGCACCACGAGTGCCGCAACAAAATATCCCACATGCCGCAGTGAATATGCTGCATGCTGCAACAAAGACCCAACCCAGCCAAATAAACAAATATTAAAAAAAAATATCCAACTGGCTCAGAGGATGTGATCAGCTTAAAATCACTACTTCATCACTTTTACCATATTTACAGAGACATTACTAATGATGATGATGATGGTAGTAGAAGTGGTAATAATACAATAATGATGATACTGAGTACTTTTATAGCATTTGCTATATACCAGACACTGTTCCAATTTCTTTACATGTATTAATTTACCTAATCTTCACATTATTTTATGGTGGGTACCCTCCTTTAGATAGATGAGGAAACTGAAGTATAAATTTCCTGTGGTTAGACAGTTAACACGTTATAAAGCTGGGATTTGAATGCAGCCAGTTTGATTCCACAGTCCATGTTTTTCACCACTAGTTCTCCCTGAGGAGAGGAACATGAGAGCTAAGTCATGCTTTCATCCCATTGGTACAAACTTCCCAAGAATACACTCCTATAACCTTTAAGAAGTAAGATGTGGATTAGGTACAAGTGGCTTCTTAGAAATTTTCTACTTTTTCCATTATCTTTTCTCTACTGTTAAGTCCTTTTGGGAAAAATGTTCTCAATCTTTAAAATTTCACCTTACCCCACTGCCTAATGACTAAGCAATATTTACTGCATCACAAAAAAGAGACAACCAAATACCAACTGATAGCTGATTACAGTAAATGTGTATTCTTGCAAAAAAAAAAAAATCCTATCTGAATCTGCAAACCTGAAGATCCAACTACCAATTTACAGAAATACGAGAGACAGAGGAACCATGTGATGGTTCATCTTATACAAACCATGGTGATGCAATGAGCAAAAATCTAGACTGTGGGAAACTCTACAGGACAAATGACATGTTATATCAACAAATAATTATCACACATACACACAAAATGATGGAAGGTAATATAGATTAAGAAGAGACTTAAGAGACATACTAAACAACTGAAATATATAGTCTTTGTTTGGATTCAGATTTGAATTTAAAAAAAATTATGAAATAGGTATATCTAAACATTTGATGACATTAAAGAATTATTCTTAATTTTTTAGGTGTGATATGGTATATGGGTTTTAATTGTAAAAAGTCCTTGTCTTTTACATATCCCATTGAAATATTTACGGATGAAATGATCTGTGATTTGTTTCAAAATAATGGGGACATAGAATGGAGGAATGAGGTATGAGGGAAAGTGCATGGGAATACATATATAAGACTGAGTATGAATTGGTAATTTCTGAAGTGAGTGATGGATATAAAGGGATTCATTTATTATATGCTCTACTTTTGTATATATTTGAAAATTTTCCATAATAAAAAAATTTACCTTGGATCTTTTTTTTATATCAAAATATTTTGCTACATATGATATCCATATAAATTTCCTAAGAAAAGATACTGTACCAGAAGGTGGGCAAAAGGTACAAATTTCCAATTATAAGATAAATAAGTACTAGGGATGAAATGTACAACATGATGACTATGTATAGGTAACACTGTTATATAGGAACATCAAGAGGGTAAATGCTAAGAGTTCTCATCACAAGGAGAAATATTTTTTCTTCTTTCTTTTCTTCTCATGGTATTGTATCTACATGAGATGATGGATGTTAGCTGAACCTACTGTGGTAATCATTTCACAATATATGTAAAGCAAATCATCATGCTGTACACCTCAAACGTGTACACCTGTACAGTGATGTATGCCAATTATTTCTCAATAAAACTGGGAAAAAAATCTCTTCAGGTTCACATGATATAAACAAACCCTTAGTTTTCAAAGTGGCTAACCAACAAGAAAAAAAAAGAGAAAGAAAAGATACTGTACAGATCTGATAAAGTGGGGTTCCAAAAAGGCTTCATTACTTACCAGTAGCTCCAAAGGCATCTAGACATTCCAAAGGTTTTCGTTCCTTAGCCAAAGCAGCCAGTGTACAGAATATTAGCTGCCTAGAAGAAAGTATAACAATCAAATAGTTGTACGGCACCATGGTTTCATCATTGTAGATTTTATTTTAAGAATAGTGAGAAATGGGGCTCCTATTTACTATGCAAACTATTTTGGAAAGAGACCTAATATTATATTCCTTACTTAACAGTACAAGAACTAAAAATCTGTGAAATTAAACTACAAATCGAATTGGGTTTTATTAACAAGTATTCACGATGAATAATGATTTTATAAATAAAACTTGCCCACAAACTTGCCCAACATGTTCATTTAATTATATAAAGTTAGACCTGTTTTACTCTCTGAGAAAGAAATTGGTTTGGCAGAAAAATAAAAGAGAGAAAACAATCATTCTGAGAAAATGCTAAAATAAATGATTTTCAATCTATACCTAGTTTTGTTTCAATATATTAAAACAAAAAGATTAGGAAAAGGTACATCTGTAATTATTTGAAACATCCCATAACCCTGTTTTCAATTTATCTTACCGATTTAGCTTCATTTTGGGATTAAAATAGGAATCTGTTTTCTGAGGTACAGAATAGTTGGGACAAACTTGTACATCTGTGTCTGCCTCTTTCAAAATTTCATTAGGTGGTTTGGCAGCAGAAGCTAAAATTACAAAAAAAAAAAAAGATTTCCAGTGAAATACAAAATAATTCTAAATATCAAAAACAATATACATTAAAAAAATAACCTTCCTTTATAATATTTCATGTTAATGAAATCAGTTGAGTAGATGCCAAAAAAGTCCCCCCAAACTGACCTACCTAGTACTGTCTCTGGAAAAGAGTAGTACTCAGTTAAGTATTTGGTGAATTAAAGTTTGTCAGCTTAAAATCTTAACTGTCTAGCACATCAATATATCTGTATACCTAGTTAAGAATAATCAACCTAAGATAGTACAAAATCCTAAAATACCTTTATTACTCATCAAACACTACATTGTGTTTATATAGGTTGGTTGCTAAATATATTTTATTGTGGTTTAAACATTAGAAAATTAACCTTTCTGTGTAGTTACATTCCATTAGCCGGCATGGATAACTAAGAGTCACTATATTTCCTGAATGTGCTTGACTTCAGAACACTTTCTCATAATTATGATTTTAAATCACAAATTATATTCAAACAGCTATAAGCTAATGTAAAAAAATTATTCTACATTTAATATACATTAGAATCATTTAGCTATAAACCCAAATGAAACAGTGATGTGTTTGTGTGAATATATTTTAAATATTTAAGAAAGGAAACATATGTAATATGTGTGGGGGAAATATAATTGAGATTCTCTATGTTTGGATTTCTTGATAACATTACTATCAGAATGTTAACTAAATGGGAACCATATTTCCCTTTCTACAATGCCAAATAAAAGTAATCTTTTCTAGTGTTGTGTTATATATCTTTCTATACTCAACAGTGTCAAGTCACATATCTCACAAGATCAGCCTTTCTCAAACCAGGTTCTGTGAGCAAATTAAGCCCTTCAAATAATTATTTTAGTGACTTTTTTTTTCAATTCTTAAAGGGAAGGTCCAGAGTACCATTCTAGATGTATAAGAGAGAAGTTAATTCATTACATATAATGGATGCCTTAGGGCAGGAGGGCTTAATTCTTAATTCTTGAGAAGGAACTGTCTCAGTATTAACAAGCTACTAATAACTCGATATCACTCGGGATAATAAAGAGTCTTTATATATCACTCTACCTCCTTTTTCCAGTGTTTTTCGATAATAAGTATAACACAGTTATTGGTACAGGAGCCGTCATTCGTAATAAAATTCTATAGTCTTTCATTAAGATACCTATATTTACTTGAACATCAGTTACTTTTTTCTACCCATATTTAATATCTATCCCAGATATTAAATATATCTGTTAAATTGAGAACAGTTGAATATTGTTGGGAGTCTCACAGAAACAAAACAAAACCTGACAGATTAGTAGTTAACTAAATGATTTGGTTAAGTCACTGTATTTTGTCTGCTTGATATCTGAAAAGAATAATTAGACCATTGTTTAAGAATTTAATTATTAACATGTTAATGAGATTGCTCAACTTACCAGCAATATACGTGGATTTAGTCTCTCCTTTATTCACATGGCGCCTAACATGTCCTAGCATATCCGTCCTTCTGGTGATTGTTGCTGAACAAATAATACAATGATAATGGGCTCCCATTTTACTGGATATCTATCAAACAGAGTATTTAATTTAAATACATAAATAAGTTACTAAGACAATGAAATAAAAGTTTATTTAATGTTGTAAATTTATGTATGTTAGTGTATTTAGGGTTTAACGTATAGAAGATAGTATTCATTTTGCCATGTGACTTTGAAAGGATTTTTACTTCCTTACCTATATTTACATATGCTTTTTAATCTTACTTTACAATAGGCCACAAGTTTAATTTCTTAGTTTTTTCCATTCATTCTAATCAGCAAATAACTGTACTCTATCTTCTATAAGCAGCACTTAACAAACGGTATGACACTAGCAGCAATGTGCTGGTAGATGTATAGCAACTGGCTCTCCAGGAAAATAAAGCCCTGATTTGTAGTGTCTGCAGCTGTCTGTGGTTTATGTACTCTACCATGGCCGATGTCAAGCTACAACCGTGACATCTGAAGCTACCAATGGGACATCACTGAACGTGAATTTGGGAAGAGATGTGCAATATCATACCAGAGAACACTGCCACGGTGCAGATATAGAATACATAAATAACGTTAAGAGCACAGGTAAAAGTAAAATGTAAAATAAATGGGAAGTAGTGAGTTGTGAGTATTCATTAACTTTGTTTTTAATATAATTTATTTACTTTTAAGTTTATATAATTTAATTTTTGATGATGGCCACATTTAACAATGAGCTTTCAAGATTTCTGGAAAATTGAGCTAGTTCTAGCACACTACTAAATGTTAGAGACAGGATAAAAAGTCTATTTTTCCAAGTAAAAATTCTCACTTTATAGTTCCTCATTTAGCTAAGAACAAAACCACCACTCCAACAGCTCTTCCTGCTTTTGATGCCTTTTTACTCTTACGTCCTGTTTACTCGGGATTATAGAGCAAGGAGAGAATAGTCAAGAACATTGCGCAAGGTTCCTTATGGCATTGTGGTTATCATATTCAAAACAGATAGGGTTAATGGACTAAGCATTATCCTAACTACTTAAGAAATGTTTGTTCCCCCCTGCCGCCAGTTCTTTACTTTTTTTAGTGACTTGAAAGGAAAATTAATAATGAGGACCCATTAAACTAATACGCATTCAGGATAGTGTCACTATAAAATATTTTACAATTTGTATTCCCCAAAGGTCAAATCTATCCTAAAAGTAAACACACGTACTTTAAAAAAAAAGTTAGTGAGATTTCAGAAAGTTTCTTCCTTCTGTCCTTTGACAAAGTAAGAGGAAGAACATAGGGAGGATGAGTATGAATCGACACATATTAAGATATTTACTAACCCACAGAAATTAAAGGCTCTTATTCCATGATCAAAATTTATTTTGAAAGAAAAAAATTACTATTTAAAAATCTCCATTCCAAAATTAGTAAGTGGGTTAATTTTCCTTTTGAACACAAGAGAGCAGGTGATCTGACTGAAATTAAAAACTTTAAAATGAAAAGTTCAATATAGCAACTTCTTTCATACATTTCATATTTTTCCTACTATGGTAATCTGAAAGCCCTTGTAAACAAAATCTTAAACTCATTGCTGAATATGCACATTTTAGTCGTAAAGCAACTCAAAATTGCACTTTCTTTACGGACAGCTAAGTCTAAAAAAACAAATCTACCATGTGATTACCTGTTCTCCAATAATGTTTGGTTTCACTGGTCGACAAGGTAAGTGACAGATGCACATCCTGTAACCTAGAATGAAGAATGAAGAATTGCTGCTTGTCTATCACTGTTCATTAAGTATTCAGTTATTATTAAAAATTACTAGCAAATTTTATTTTATAAGAATAATTGAGATTATTCTTATATTTGTAATGTCATAGTTTATTTGAATGAGATGGCCTTAGTTTTATGTACTTGCTGTATATGACATAGTATAAAAACAAATACAGGAGGATCTAGGGTCAAAACCTGGTTCTGCCAAAAATATCTGTGTTACCTTGGTTTAGTCATTTAGCTTCTTTGGGACTCAGTTTTATCGTCTTTCTGCCATCTTGACTTTTTTTAGGCTTCATCTTCTCTGCCTTATGCTGCATTTACCATTATACAGCCTCTTCTTCATTTATGATACAGCACTATCTTAGTTCTCTTCCCATCTTTCCTACTTAATCTTCTTTACAGATTCTTTTCCCTCTTCATACACGAAAATGTAGATTTTCTGTATGCTTGATGTGCTACAAAAATTTTTTCTCATTTCCTTGGTAACTGTAGTACCTTTCATGATTGCAACTATCTCCCCTGTGAGAAGGAATCCCAAATTATAGCTCTCTTACCAACTCATTCCTGAGGGCCAGATCTCTACTTTCAATTGCCTATTGAAGACATATGACTGGTTATTTCAAAACCTACTGTCGGGAATTCCCTGGTGGTCCAGTGGATAGGACTCCACGCTTCCACTGCAGGGCACATGGGTTTGATCCCTGGTCCCTGTTCGGGGAACTAAGATCCCACAAGCCGTGTGACGCAGCCAAGAAAAACAAAAACCAAAACCCAACAACAACAGAACTCCAAAAAACCTACTGTCAAGGACTAAAATTTTCACTTCCCCTTGAACCAGGTCTCTTTTTCGCCTTTTTAATGAATAATGCCTTCCACTTACTCCCAATTCAAAAACTAAGTTATCTTTAACTCCTTTCTTCTCATACTTTACATCCAATCATTTATTTGTATATGTTGAAGTGTCTCAGGACTCAGACCTTGGACAACAACTTTTTTCCACCTATATGTACTCTTAAGGTTATCCCACCCAGTCTTACGGCTTTAAATACCATCTATATTCTGACAACTCCCAAATATGTATCTCTAGCCCAAACCTTTCCCCCAAAGTCTAGATTCATGTAGCCTCCAGGCTACTTGATATCTCCACTAGATGCATCTCAACATCTGCATGCCTAAATCTGAGGACCTGTCCTTCTTTCTCATACCTAATGCAGTCTTCTCCATCCCAGTAAAGGACAACGTTTTTCTAGTTGCTCAAGTCTCAAACACAAGCATTCTTGGCTTTTTCTACCTCATCTCCCTTCTATTCCTTCAGCAGATCTTATTCAACATATTTGCCAACTACTTTGAAGCCTGCTCACAAAGACAAAATCATGTTCACCATCTACCAGATGACCACCATGTGAAAGAACCCAACAACCTAATGTACATGACAGAGTAAAGCAATACTATGAGCCATCAAAGAGAAAAGAATAACTTGGAGGAGGGAGACCAAACCTAAAGATTAAACAATGGCTTAAATACAGCAAACGAAAGAGACCTTTGTAATTGAAATGAGATCTTTCTTTTTTGATAAGAAGTCAATATGGTTTACTATACATTCTTATAAATAATTAAACATAAGACATATGGCTTCTGAATTAGTCTCTAATTCCCTTTTCTCTAAGTAATTAGTGATAATCTAAGAAAATAATTCTGGTATAGTTCTGGCTTCTTTTTTGGGGTGTCTTATAATGGCTATTTCATTCCGTCTGGTTGAAACCCCAGATAAGCACATTTAACAATGACTATACTTATATAATCATATATAAATATAAGTATATACATGTTTAAGATTGATATTTAGGGCTTTTTTGGGGGGGTACTTTTTGTTTTTATCCCATATATTGCTATTTTCATTAGTAGTTTACCATGGAAATCCTTCCAAGTAAACTGGTATAGATGTAATATACGCTTTTCAATGGCTGCATAATATTTCATGGTATGTATGTACCATGTACCATGAGCATAATTTATTCAGTCTCTTATTTTAGTTCCAAGTTTTTGTCACTAAGCACATGCTGCAATGAATATTCTTGTACACCTATCCTTGTGTATTGCTGCTTTTACTCCTAGGAAAGAGTGCCTGGTGGATGAATATTTTAAATTTTTTAAATGTTGCCAGGTCTCTTTCCAAAAATGCTGTAATATATAATTCACTAACTCAGAATCTAATAATTCACTGTCTCTAAGAAGTATTTTAACTTGGTAAGATGTTGTTTTTTGTTCTTCAACTTTATTCATTTCGTTATATGAGTCCTCTCGTTAAACTTACTCCCTCAAATTGTGTCATTTTTGTCACTATTATAATTGGTTTTTTCTAATTTCCATTTATCTAGAGTAGAGAGACTCTGATCAATCTTGTATCTCACCACTGTTCCAAATACTCTCATCAACTGGCTTTTTTAAGCCATCAGCAGAAAAAAAAAGATGTTTCTTCTTTTTTCCAATGTTCATACCAATTATTTTATTTTCTGTTTTACTACATTTATTATATCTTCAAAAGTATGTGTAAAATTGTAGTTGTTCTAATATAAAAGGAAAAGTATAACTTATTAAAACATGGTTCAATAAGTAATGTGGACCTTCAGCACCAAGCAGGTACCCCGTACAGAAGAGATGCTTAATAAATGTTTGCCACACTAAACTATTGGTGTCACATCTATCTATTGCCTAGAGAGCTATATGGTCTTTTATTAATAAATACATTAAAAGAGGGGCATTAATCCTTCATAATTTTAAACTGAAAATATTTGATTATGTTTTCATTAAAATTCCAAAACTGGTACCAAATCTTTAATTTCGTTTACATCACTTTTAGCAAGCACAAAAATACTAACCTTCAAATTCAACTGAGACTTTCCAGTGTAAATTTTGAAGGTGACGATGAAGCTTATGACTATTACAAGCTCTGAATTTTTCCTTGGGGCACAATGGACAAGCCTGTTTGTTTCCTGTTAAAAGAAAAGGAACTAATAAAGCGGAGAATATACTAGCTGTTAATGCTTAAATTTAGCTACAAAAGAAGTAACGGGGAACCTCTCTTGCCTCTGCCCTTTACTCCCCAAAACACACACTCACACACCTTAGATAATATCTTTCTTAACATTAGGGAGAAGTCATTCCTGCCTCAGCAGGTACTTAACAATAGTTGTTTTAGCACATGGTCAGTGACTTATTTTTTTACCTAAAACTCTCCTCTCTGTGGCTAGCAGATATCCTTGTTGCCACTGGGAACAGAGAGGATGAGGAAGTGATAAACTACATGATATCCCTCCAGCCAAAGTGCCTGCCAGAGAGAATGTCATTCTGTACTTTGGGCAGGAGAAAAGGCAGCAGTTGTCACACTCCCAGAGGGCTAGGAGCTGAGCAGAGAGCATAAGTATCTGCTCTGATACTCTCCTACTCTAACAGCAACAAAAATAGTTAATGTGCGGAGTTAGAAAAATGGAAGAAGGAAGTGGAAGGAGTACCTTGGATCCTATATAATTGCTATTCTGAGACTGGGGTCATGGTTACAACCACTGTATCCTATTACTAAATTTGTAAGTTCTTCCTTCTTTATTAACATATTCTTGGAAAGATTATGTATTAAATAAGTTTTATTTAATTAGAAATGTAATGTACCTTAATAAAAACTTTGATAGTATACAAGAGACTTAAAATCTCAAGTCCAGGTTTAAAGCAATAAAATATACAGAAATAATAACTCAATTTTTAATCCAACAAATATCTTTCACACATAGCACATGGCAAGTATAAGCACAATTTTATTTCTTTATATATATATATACTCTGCCTACTTCAAAAAACTGTGAGGAGATCTTGAGGATGGAATCCAAGCACTAAGGATGGCAAAGTAGAAAGAGAAGAGCTTGGGGCACTGACAACATTGTGAAACTCTGTACCAGCCCTAAACTGCCAGCCTTGGGACTTCTTTTACATGAGAGAATATAAGCCTCGATACTACTTTCTGGATTTCTGTTACTCATAGTAAAATGTAATTCCTAACTTTTAGTATACAAAGCCCTTATATATCCATGAGACTGTAATTTCCTTGAGAAGTTGTGAAATAACTTATCTCATAGCACCTTTGCATACAGAAGGCTATAATTTCCTAAGTAAAAAACCATTATTTTACTTCTGCTCTAGTCCAGTGAAAATAAACAAGTCTATGCTTAGAAAAATTTTCATGTGTTGAAAGATGACAAATCATTAGAAGTTGAGAAAAAACACATTTTCAAATCATGGAAATACCTGCATCAAGATTATCTGAGTTTAGTGAACTGGCAGAGTCAAAATCCCCTTCAGTTACGAAAGCTAACTTCTCTAGATCAGCAAGCTGCCTTTGAATTGAGATGTGTCTCTCTGAAAGGAAATTTTAAGAGTTAGAAAATTATGCTTTAACAATCTGTATTCCAACTTCATTTTTATTTGATCATGTCACATGGAATTTTACACTTTTATTTCCTATAGCACAGTGCCCTAGTACCTAGATGGGAAACTCAGTTTATAAAATGACAAGTGTGCCTAAGAAGGCAGAGTTGGGGGAAAAACTCTGCTGTGTAACCTCACAGCTTTCAAATTCTATCTTATTATTCAATATAATTCTACAAAAGAAAGGTCTAGTCTGTACAAAACACTGAAGCCATGTTTCCTGTTTTCAAAGAACTTTCAACCACGTGAGAGAGATTAAAACGTTAACTACTAACTAGAACACAAGGCAGGATGAAATGAACACTAGGGGTAAAGGTAATATAATGGTGGCCTACAGAGGAAGAAGTAATTCATTCCAACAAGTGCCCCTGGGAATGTCTTCACTGAAGAAGTGGCATTTGACTGAAATTTAGGGTATGAATAGAATTTCATAAGGTAGGAAGAGAATTTCAATAAGTAGAGATTTCGTGTCAGGCCTTATAAACTGAAGTAACCTAATAAACAAAGGCATGTGGTGTAAAAATACACAGCCACCTCTATACCACTCCTGGCTGGAAAGTAGTATGTTTGGGGGATAGAGTTGGTAGAAAGATATGCAGCCAAAAATGTATCATGGAAGACATAAATTTTATGCAAGTTAGTTTGGACTTTACTCTTCAGGCAATGTTAATTCAGGTTTCTGAGGAAATCAAAGACATGATTTGAATGCATTTCAGGAGGGTATCTCTGGCTGTAGTACCAAGGATCAATAACTGAGGTGAGAAATTAGTAACAGAAAAGTACTGGAGAAGAGAAGGTAAAAAAAGAAGCAAAGAACTTGGGATGTGAAAGTAAAGGTGAAGATTAAAGGACGATCCTGAGATTTAATAATACTGTTAACCAATAAAGGAAGCAGAAAACACTTTTGGCAGAAAGGAAGAGGAAAGAGGAGACAAGGGAATTTAGTTTTTTACACAGTGTGTTTGATTACTACTGGTATTAGGTACTCAAGTCCAGTAGGCAGTTGAATCGTTTTTGGAGCTCAGGAAGGATTCTGAATAGATATAACTCAAAAATACACGTTAGATGAAACTATGAGCATGAATAAGAAAGCGTAAGGGAAAAATTTTGTGAAACAGAGAAGAAAAAAGCCAAAACTCAGTCCCAGTAACACATTTTTGGGTTACTGAAATATTATACATTCTTCAAATTACATACCTGTAAATTTTGGAATATATGAATAAATCTTTCCAAAATATATTTAACATTCTTGAGTAAGTCGTGTGTGGGATGCATTCCCCAATGCTGCTGAACCCACTACTGATTAATATAAATGGATACAATTTTTAAGTGAGGTATGGAGGTATGTAGATATTTGTAAGAGACTTTCAGGAAAATCAAGAGGGTACATTCAAAAAGGAAAAATGGTATGGAGAATCAAGATAACGCAGAAGCCAAGAGAGAAGAGACTGTAAAAGAGAAATGCTCAACAGTAAGTATCACAAATAGTTGCAGAGATCAAGAAAAGACCACTGGATTTAGTATTTAGCAAGTCTCTAGTGACCTTTAAGAAAGAAGGTTCAGTGAGGTGTCAGAGTACAAATGGGACTGGAAGGAGAAACCAAGTATAGAAAATCAGCATAGATTATTTTTTTCAAGAAGTTTGGTAGTATAAAAAAGGAGATGGATGGGATTGTAACTTGTTTTTTCTTTCTTTTTAAGGATAGAGAGACCTGAATATGTGTAGCCCCAAGGAAAGGAACATTTACAAAGTGGAATCCTGAATATGCAAGACTAGATGTAACTGACAGGAAAGGATCCCAGTGAGATAGGAGTCAATGGGGGTAAACCACAAGGCTAATATTAATTATATAATTAGATTATACAATTTCTCGGCACTGCTGTCTTCCTGCCTATCCCTCTCCAAGCTTCATGCCCAGTTGCTTTGTTTTCCTTCTGTATAATTTGTGTTCTTGTTTGTCTCCCCTACAAATAAGAAGTAGGCAAGGGCTATGTCTTATTCATCTTTGTAACAGTTAAGTGCCTAGTGCAGTAACTTGCACACCGCAGGCACTAAAGTTTTTAACTAATTTTTTAAAAAAAATCATTAGTCTTTTTGGATGCAGCAGCACCCTGCGTCAATAATTTTGGAATTCAATTCAGCACTGTCAGACATTCCTGCTAAAATTTATTAAAAAACAATTTTTACTTAATTCTAAAATGAGAAAAACAAGGAGCAACAAATGCTATTGTTTAACTTCTTATACCAGGTATTGTTCAAATGACTTACAATGAGATATGATTTCTATAAACAGGTAAAATTTTTTCCCACATTACAAAAACCTTTAATTGCTAGGTGTCTGACCTTACTGTCTAGTAAGATTCAGGCAATGAATCCACGTGTACAAACCAATCTATTTAATTTGAAATCATAAAAGCTTTTGGCTTCCATAGTTCAAAGATCTGTGTGCGTGAAACAAGATATATAGTGCTACATAACGATGTGCTTATTTAAATCATTCCAACTACTAAGTAGTACAAAGTAAGCGAAAGGGGCCTGGTAAGCTAGAAAACTGAAAATCCTGTGGTCCGCTATTGAAGTAAATTCTAAAAGATCTATCTAAAGAGTCCTGATATGCCTATGTACATCTCTGAAATCACTTTCTGGCTCAACACAGTAGTTATCAGTCAATCTGTACTTAAAATCACTCAATCTTTTTGTAACACACTAATCCAGAAGTCAATAGGCAAACCTCTTGTTAAATCAGATGAGTCCAAGATGCTAGGAGGTTCTTTTAAAACTTCTTTTTCCTCAATTTTCAATTCTATTTCAGATATGCCATCTTCATCTTGCCCAGTTAAGTCTGATTTCAGAGGGCTAACTAGACCATCTAAAAATAATTTTTAAAATGTGATTAATATGTTTCTAATGCATTTCAGATTCTCAGTCATTACCTACTTGTCCCAGCAATACATTTTCAGTTTTCTCAAACATCATGCATTCTTCAAATTAACACACTTGTAAATTTTGGAATATAGGAAGAAATCTTTCCAAACTATATTCAACATATTCTTGATGGTGGGGAGGTGGAGAAAGCATGCATTCCCTAAAGCTGTTCAACCACCTCTAATAAACATAAAAATATCCCATCTAGAGATGAGTTAGGGAGGATACCTTACTCAGGAGAGTGTTCCTCCTCCTCCCCCATTGTAGTTGTGGACGAAGAAACAACTGGCCTTATTTTGCACCTACTAGCTCTGATCTTCTGTGATAAGGAGGGGCCTACCAGAGGCCTGCTGACTTTGTCTTTTCTGTGATCTGCCCTACTCTTAAATCTACTATAACAATTTATATGTTGTTTTAAAATTGTAAAATAATTCTATTAGATTATAACTGTCCAAATGTTTTATAAACATTAATCTCACAAGTGGCTTAGAAGTAGGAAAGACAACGAATTAATTTAAGATATTTTGTTATGATTCAGAAAGAGTATAAAGGTCAATTTTGGGACTAAATTTTTAAAAAAAACTTTCTTAGACCTAACATTTCAAAATGTTCAGAAAATTCCTAAGAAAGTGTTACTTATCAATCTTTTAAATTCCTTTATGGTCCAATAAATCATCACTTAGAAAACATGCAAGCATATTCAGAAGCACAATAATACGGGCTATTAATTTTCAACAGCTGACTTCTGACGGAAAAACGTACAAAATTCAACTGGTATTTATGTCTGAGGGAAGACACCTGTAATTTAGCCGACTCTTTCTTAAACTGTTCATCAGCCTCAAATTCTTTTTGGAAGCAAGCTGCTAAAGGAAATGAAATGAGAAAAACCCATCTCTTGTCTCTGTCGAGGCACAAAAGCTAATTGACAGCAACGGTTGCTAAATCTTGGCAGTTAGCATCTACTACAGTAAACAGGTTGCCTCGGTTACTCTATCATATTTTAAAGGACTTAGCGAACCATGGCAGACGGGGCTGAGAGGGAAACTACCAAATTAGGTGTAACTTCTGATTTTTGTACCAAAAAGACTCCCTTTAACGAAGAAGCCCACAACCTCATTATTTCCTTCTATCTGCAGCACACCTGGCCTCCACAGATCCTTCACCGTGAGGTCCCCAAGGTTTGTGGAGATGCCTTCCCCCATCCTACACCCGTTTTACCCGCTATACGGGTTCCTCCTTCCTCCCCCCATTTCTCTAAAACTGCCTTTCCCCATAAAAACCATCCCAGGGGAGAAGGGCCTCCCCTACTCCCCAGCAAGGCGCACTTTCTCGCTTCTCCTGCGGCAGACAGATCTGGGCCTCCTGCACTTACTGCTTTCAGCCTCATCAGGGGCAGAGGCTAGGGACGGGGACAGGGTCGGAGCCTGGGCCAGGGCAGGGGCTGGGACTGGAGCCGAGGCCGGAGTCGGGGCCGAGGCCGGAGCCGAATCCGGGGCCGGAGCTGGGACCCGAGCCGAGTCCGGGGCCGGGGTCGGGACCTGGACCTGGGCCACTTCCACCTCCTCCTCCTCCTCCTTCTCCTGGGGCAGCAGCTCCTCCTCCGCCATATTCTCCATAGTTACCGCCTCCGTGCCAGGCCCGACCGGGGACCAGGAGGGGCTCACGGCGGGGTGAGACAACTGGCGTGAAAGCCCAGAGGGCCGGATCCGAGGAGTGGGGAAGCAAATGGGGAGGGCGGGATGCGTGCAACAGACAAAAGACGAAGAACCAGTGACCAAATCCAGTCAGCAGAAAAATAAAAAGCAACAGACAGCGATTCTCGGTCCCATCCGCTTCCTTTTCCCCGAGACGTTACGACGCCAGCCCAGACTGCGCAGGAGCGGGCTGGGGACGCCGTCCAATGAGGTCAGAGAGTTCCATTTCCGCGGTGCGTCTCCGTCCCAGGCGTCAACCACGGAATCCAGCCAAAACTACAGTACCCAGGGTGCACCGCGCCGCACGGGGGGACGGGGCCAGAGTTCCAAGTTCTCAGAGGAAGTGAACGCAAAGCTAAACGAACGCTCGGGAGCGATCGAGCGGTACCCTGCCTCTGGGCGCAGAACTACATTTCCCAGCGGGCATCGGGGCTCGGGGTCCCTTTCCCTTGGCCCGGGAGTCCGGAGTCGCCACCGGCGGGAGCGCTGGTGAATAAGGTAGGGAGCTGGGGCGGGGTGTGGGGGGAATCGTTGACGTTACGCTGGGCAGGCTCCGCGCCTCACTCCGGTACCGTAGCGGGCGGCCGGCGGGACGGACGGAGGATTCCGGGTCCCTTCGAGCCTGGGCTGGGCGACTCTGGGGGCGGTCCCGGGGTTGAGCCTGCTCTGTGGAGGGTGGGGTTCTGGCCCGGCCCTTCCTCTGGGGCTGCCTCTCGCCCCGGCTAGGGTGAAGTCTGTGAGTACGCGAGCCCGTGGGCCTAGGCGGTTTACAGGACGCTGACAGGCTCGCCTGTCAGTCGGGTGTCTGCTCCTTGTTTCGCACCTTCACGCACACCGTGACCCGAACACTCTTTTCCTTTTGTTTTTATTTTTGTCCTAACCTACGTATTCCCAGTATCAGCGCTGCGCCGTGGCTGTAAGATTCCTGCGGATAGGGAATTTGGCGGGGTGGGGGCGGGGGGAGTGCCCTGTGCTTACATTTAGGCTGTTAATACCCAAAGGTCGTTAATATGTTGAGCTTCGGGGCACTTGACTGATGCGATTTACATTCCTCAAGGCGTATGCAAGTGAGTTCCCCGGCCCCCGTACTTCTCTTGCCTTTACTCTCTGAGACATCCTGAAGAAGGTATCTTCAGAGTTTGGAAGAATCATATTAAGTGAGTATATTACTTATCTGTTGCTGCCTAAGTTATCTCAAAACTTAGTGGCATAAAACAACAAAAACATTTATTACCTCACAGTTTGTATGGGTCAGGAATTCAGAAATGGCTTTCTGGGTGTATCTGGCACTGGGTCTCATGAGACTGCAGTGAAGATACCGACCAGGGATGCTGCCACGTGAAGGCTTGCTTAGGGCTGCAGGATCAGCTTCAAAGGTAGCTCATTCACATGCCTGGCAGTCAATTCATTTTTGGCAAGTGGTCTCAGTTCTTCCTTGGTGGCCTTCTCTTTGGGTTACTTGAATGTCCTCATGATGTGGTAGTGAACAATTCAAGATAGAGAGTAAGGCAGAAGCCACAATGTCATTAGACCTAGCCACATACTACCATATAGCAATATCCTGTTGGTTACGTGGGTTGTCTCTATTTATTGTGAGAGGGGGCTACATAAGACTGTAATTACCAGGTAGCAGAGATCATCAGGAGCCATTCTGGAGACTGGCCGGCACAGGAAGTCTCCCCTCATTTAGTTTGTATTCTGATTTCCATAGAATCAATATGAATTTCACACTAATATGAGTATAAAACATTTGTCAGGGCTTCCCTGGTGGCGCAGTGGTTGAGAGTCCGCCTGCCGATGCAGGGGACACGGGTTTGTGCCCCGGTCCGGGAAGATCCCACATGCCGCGGAGTAACTAGGCCTGTGAGCCGTGGCCGCTGAGCCTGCGCGTCCGGAGCCTGTGCTCCACAACGGGAGAGGCCACAACAGTGAGAGGCCCGCGTACCACAAAAAAAACAAAACAAACAAAAAAAAAACATTTGTCATAGTACACATATGGGTGTTTTTCCTTTGATAGTCCACTATCTGCAGTGTTTTTTTTCAATTTGTCTTATGGGTAACAGGTTCAATTGTGTTCTTTTTGTATTCACAGCACAATGTGAATGGGTTTAAATTGTAAACGGTAACATAACCAGTCCATTGCCTCTAAGCAGTTTATCTCATGGAAGTTATTATTTTTCATTATGCCTTCTCCCGCTTCACCCCCCGCCAAGCCCCCCATGGAATGGGGTCCTCGGAACAAGAAAGAGAAATGAAGATTATTCTTCTAATCTGAAAGCTCAACTGTGAATTCAATTATTGCCATAAATTATCTTACAAAGCAAAATTTCTGGGTAATTTAGAATTTGTTCGTAGAAGTTTACGTTGGCTACTCTTTTATTAATTTTTATTATTGTTAGATTTCTGTTAGCTATCAGCATTTTTATTCTTTCTTCCATAATCATCAAAACATTCTAAAAGTTTGATTTAGTGTAATTGATCATTCTTTTTTAGAACTTCACTTAGTGTCATCGTGATTGACCAGGAGTAGTTGCAATTGCTTGGTTTCTAGTCTTTGTTATGTTCATAGTGTCTATACATATCACTGCCAGCAATAAACTCTCCTTTGGACTTTGCTTCTGGACCCCTTTTACATCCTCTTGCCCCAGCAAACCTGGTGATATTCCCAGTCTCTGGCCTCTACGTTCCAGTACAGGATGGTTGTATACACTATCTTGAGAGTGTTTATGACCATAAGGAATGACTATGTTTGTTTGTTTGTTTGTTTTCCTATCAGTAACTAACAGTATAGACTTGATCCAGAACAGGGCTGGAAAAGTGAGACTGGGATGGGAAGTGGACAGAGGGACTGGATCAGCAAGAGTTGGAAGTGGCTCAGAATGAACAATGAATATTCTGGGGAAGAAAAATTCACTCATTCATTCACTCAGCAGACATTTGTGAACACCTCAGTTTTCAATACAGCATATTCTTCAAGAAGCTCAGGGTCTAGAAGAAAGACAACCACGTAAGCCAGTATTTGTTAAGACCCTGCTGTGTACTATCCTGTACAAGGTATCTTTACATCCATAGCTTCATCTGAGTTCTTCAAAAACCTTCTCAGATGAGTTATCTCTATATTACATATAATGAAACTAGGGCTCAAAAAACGTATGTATTTTGCCTGAAGTCGCACTCAGTGAGTGATGGAGGGTGTGTTGGGAAAATGAAGACTTTTGACTAGTTGGTTTTGAGGTATATATAGGTGGGGCAAAATACAGCAGTCTGGCAGGCAGTTGAAAATGGTGGTGTGATGCTTGAGAGAGAAATCAGGGCTAAAGGCATAGTTTTGAGAGTCATTCCTAAAAAGGTAATAGATGAAGCTGAAGGAGGGGAACAGATCATTATGAGGGAGAATATAAGTAAAATAAAGTGGAACGATGAGAGAATCCTGTCACCTTGAGAATAGGTAAAATATGGAAATTATTTTGTAAAACTCCAGTCTTTAAGGAACTGAAAAAAATAATTTCTAATGTTTTTGTTGTGGCAGTGGTAAAACATAATGTGCTTTTGATATTTATTTTAGCTTTTCAAAATGTCCAGCAAAGAATCTTACGGAAAAAAAGAGAAATCTCTGAGAAGAGGCACTGCCCCATCACCCAATGTTGATGAAGAAGTAAGAATTCTGGTTTGTTGTCCTAAAGATACCCTTTTTTACAGTTTATTTTTGTGTAATGAAAAAAATACACCTCAGTTTTAAAATGAGATATGTAAATATTTTGTTCTTCCCTTCTGACCCAGGAAAAGTCACTTGTTATTCTCATTCTTTACTTGCATTATTTTATTTATTCCTCACAGCTCTATGAGGTAGGTACTGTTTTTATCCCAATTATACAGAGGAAGAAACTGAGGCTTGGCGGTGTCCTTTGTGCTTCCTCCTCATCTTCTTAAACTATAATCCTTCAAGTGCCCAGCCTCAGTTCTCGCAGCGTAGTAAACTTCAATAACATTCTTTCAGTTGCTTGGGCCGGAACCCTGGTCATCATGCTCTACCTGCATCCCATCTATCAGCAAATTCTAACAGCAGAGTCTGACTCCCGCCTCTACTTCTATCACCATGATCCAGGCAATCAACTTGCTTTCCTAGGTTATTTCAGTAGTTTCTAAATTGATCTCCCTGCTTCCACCTTTGCCTTCTTGTGTTCTTGACATAACAGCAAAGTGATCCTATTAAACTGTAAGATCATGTCACTCTTCTGCTCAATATTTTCTGATGGTTTTTCGCTTCAGAGAAAAAGCTGAAGTCCTTGCTGGGGCTGACAAAGTGAACTACTCTCCCCATCTCATCTCCATTACATTCTCTCTTTGCTTTCTCCACTTCTTGGCTTCCTTGTTGTTGTTCCAATAAGCCAGGCACATTCCTGCCTCAGGGACTTTGTGCTTGCTGTTACTCCCTTTAAATTGAAAAATTTTCCCTAGATATCCACAGGGTTTGTTCCTTCATTTCTTTAGGTCTCTATTCAGATGTCAGCTTACCAGTGGGGCCTTTTTTGACTACTCTGTTTAAAATTGCAACTGCCTCACCCTTGCCTGTCAGCCCTTCCTGACCCCTTTCTCTGCTTTATTTTTTTTTCCATAGCATCATCTGACACACTAAATATATTATTTGCTTATTTGTAAATACCTGCACTAGGTTTTAACCTCCATGAGAGCAGGGACTTTTATTGTTTTTTCATTAATCTGTCCTCACTGTCTAGAAGAATGTCTTTGACACATGGTAGGTACTCAAAATATGTTTGTCCTGGGTCTTTTGAATTCAGGATCCACTGAAAAATAACTGGATATATGGTTTTGCTTTGTAGAAAATGGAATTCCACCATGGCAGTGCCACTTCTCAATGTCCTTGTCTGAGTCGTCTGCAGCCTTCTGCTGTAGCACCTGTATCCCATCTCATCCCTAGTTCAAGAGCACCTACATCTTCTGATTTCTAGTTGGGTCTTTCTTCCTCTTACCAATGTTTGTATGCCCTTAAACATTGTTCTCCTCTGAAATTTATTATTAATGTAGAAAGAATCTTGATTTATAGTAAGTGATAAAATAATGCTCTCTTATGCTGTGCTTTAT